CCCAAGGACTTCACTGTGCTACAAAGACCCACGCGGTGCTGCAGATTTTGAATACTCACCAGATTTGCACTGATCTCGCCATCACCACCAGGGCAGGGTTTAAATTCTTCTCTCATCTTTCTGAGCTTCTGCTTTGCCCAGGGCATGTGCATGGATTCTGCCTTACTCAGTAGACCAGGATGCTCTGAATCTTCTAATTTCTTAAGGAAATTCCTTCTTTAGCTTTTCCTCTTGGATTTTATTTGCTCTGTTTTTGGTGTCAGCGATAATATTTTCCTTCAGGCGTTTATGGCTGATGTTTGTGCCTTAAAATGTCTTGAAGGACACCACTTCCCTGCCTGCACTATTTCTAAATTAGGAAATCAGGGAACTGTGTGAGGCACTCCCCAGCTAAGTGAGAACTGATCCACCATACAATTACTAGGCCCCACCAAAACCTAGGGACCAGAGGCTCAGAGGCCCCAAGGACTCCACCTTCAGCCTGAAGGTTCTTCCCGGAACTGTGAAAGGTAAAGTAAGCAAAAACATTGCTCACTGAAGAAATCCACCTACCTCCCATTTCTAAATCCTGACTGGGGCTAAAATATAAGAACCAATAAGTGAAAATGCTGCAACATTTTCCTACATTTTTAAATTTCTAGACTCTTCATCGAGATGATTGTTATAAGCCTTCAATTTCTAGATCAATTTCTAGAGTTCTCAAAAGTGGTCTGTGACAATTTCTGTTTGACATATCTGTCAGGAGAGGGGCATTCAGAACTAGCTACTCTGTCATTTTGCCCAATGCCATTTCTCAATGATGCTTTATAGAAATATAGCATTTGTGCTTTTGTATCAAAAAACCTTTACAGTTGGAATCTTTTTAAAAGTTGCATATTTTCCAATAAAGTTTGATTTAAATGCTTGTGTTTTGCCTTACTGTGTCAAATTTGCAAAAAATCATCTATATAAGTATGCAACAAATCAAAAGAATTAATACAATTTAGGATGCAAACAACTGATTACTTCTAAACCAGTTGAACTGAAAGGACAATAAACACAATAAACAAAGTCTTTCATCTTTTCTCTCTTACCTTATCTCCAAACTGACATGCAAGAAGCAGCTCACAAAAACCAAGGTTAATAAATTTTACTCTCTACTCTGAAGATTAAAGGATATTTAATAGAAAGGCTGTTAAATTCTTGTCTATCATTGTTGTCTGCTGTGTCACTTGCTGTCAAAGTGCACAGCTATGACTTGCAGACTTATTCTGAATAATTAAAGCTATATACACTCATTCATAAGTCAATATTTGAAGTTAGTTATATAGAAATTGGTGGGAAAATACTGGAAGTCAAAGTTCAATCATAATCTAAACTCATACCCAATACAATGGCAAAACCAAGTTTAGAAAAACTCAAGATATCAATTTTGTAGACTTTGGTTTACAACTCCCTATGCTTTCCAAAATGTCTTTTCTTCTTCCTGTTGTTATTATTATAATGTAAAAGGGAAGAGAAATAATTACTTTTGATTAGAAATAAGATGTTGGCACTCACCTGAACAATAAGTAAAATAAAGCAAAAATATCAACTGAACTTGAAAAAGAAGTAAAAATATTGCCTCATAAATGGATAGAATGAAAAAGGAAAATAAACACATCATTGCAAAAACTTACTGAGAAATTTATTTGACAGGAAATGATAAAAAATGTATATTTAATGACAAAAAATGAGGGAATGAAATTAGAAAATATGAAATAACCAAAGAAAGAAGTGCACTTAAGAAAGTATTCAGAAATTGAAACACCTTCCCATAATATGTGCATGTATGTTAGCCAACATCAGGTATTTCTAAACTAGAAGAGGAGACCGGAAATTATCTCCAGCAATTATCTGAGATCCCAGGTAAAAAAGAGAAACAGAGAGAAACGACCCTTGCTTCACCAAGGTACTCAAGTTCAGGGGAAGAATTACATCTAGAGAGCAAGGCTTGTAAGAGCTTTTGCAGAATGAAGTATGTCATCTAAATGCCAAGCTAGATAATAGTCTTTAGATGTGTGCTTTCATAGCATACATATTATTGAGTGGCAGGAATATTCAACACTATAGAATTTAAAAAAAGAAGAACATCTACAGAGTTGGTGCTGTCTTTTATGTCTCAAGATACCAGATATAATTTTAAAATACGGTGAATTATTTGTTTGTGGAGATTCTATGAATAGAGTGTGTGAGGGCCCCTGCGAGGTCTTATGAGCCTATTTTCCACAGGGTAGCACTTGGCAGGAGTGATCCTCTAGGTTTGATCACATCTTGTGAAGATATCCCCAAAAGAGGACTCATAGAACTGCTTCAGAAAGTGGCAAGAACAAAGTGATAATTGTGTTCCGAGTGAGTGGGGGGATTTTGAAGCACATAAATAGTAAAAATCTCTTTTACTTTAACAATTTTTCGTTTAAACTTTCACCATATATTTTCATCACCAAATTTATAGCCTGCATACCACCAAGCACCCATTCAATATAATATTTCTTGCCATCATGTATTAAATATAGTCATTCCATAAGCCCTCCCCATAGAGATATGGAAGAAATCGGTAAAGAGAGCATCCTAGAGAAACAATGAGGTGTAAGAAATGTCAGTGGTGGTGAAAGCTCTATTTAAAAAAAAAATGAAACTAACTCAAAGAAGAAATAACCTTTGCAAGTGTAGAAAGCAGTATGAGCAGAAATAACAATTTTTAGGGTAACATTTCTTTCAAGGCAAGATAAAACAACATCTGGAAGAACTCATAAATGATATGGGTAGAATCACTAAAAGGATTTGCTTTAAAGGTCAATATTCAATTAATGTAATTGCTAAGATACTGACTTGGGCCTGATTTATGGATATTTGTAAGACTAAAATGTCCTGTTTTCAGAAACCAAAGCAGCTTTCACAGTTTACGTCATAAGTTACAACCTCATATATCTAAAGCGGTCAGCAGGGAGAACACAGGTACAATGGGGACAGAACTGGCTGCACTGAGGGCTGGGATTAGCCACTTTTTGGACAGCATTTCCAGCCAAGCCCACAGGTGTGGACCCACAAGTGTGCATGATGCTAAGAACGGTGCTTAACAAAGTAAGACTGATCAGTGCAAAAACTACCCTCAAAGCTTCATAAGAGCTGGTGCAGTGTTTTTAATGTGTGTTTTCATTTAAACAGCAAGACTGGTAAGATTGCAAATCTTTACACCTTGAGATATCACACCTTTTGTGGAATGACAGAAGTACTCGATGTTACAAAAATTCACAAAGGTTCATCTACAGGGTTGGTTCCCAGTCTTAAATTATAAAGTCAGTGGTCTAGTGTGTGTGATATGTGCTACTTAAAAGTAGAGAGAACTGAAGTGAGAAGAACCAGCAGATTTGAAACACTGATAAGTCAGTCGTGGGATATTAGCTGTGACTGGATCAAATATCCACTCTGAGCCTATTAAACAATCAGTGAGTCTTTGAGAGCATAAAGCATAATCTCTATTTTACTCCAAAGGCTACTTATTGGTTGCAACTTCCAATTTCTAAGGTGGTCCAGGGATTTTCCAATTTTGCTCAGTATAAAGGTATCTCTGATGTGGTTAGAGGAACACAATCACATTTGAGTCATGGCATTTTGGGTTGTATGTTGAGTGTGCATCTCCCTTCCCCTTCCAGTGCTGGCACATAATAACCAACATCACAACCCAAAGCAAGAGAGGTTTACTGTGGCTCCCAGTGTTCGGGGGTTCAGTCCGTGTTCAGGTGGCTGCAAGACAGAAACAGTGTGGTGGAAGGGTGCAGTGAAAGAAAGCTGCTCACTTCATGGTAGTCAGGAAACAGAGACAGAAGGAAGGAATCTGGGAGGGGCACCCTTCCAGGTCGTGTCCCAGTGACCAGTCCTTTCTCCCCTTCTGCCTAAGACACTGTGCTGTGACAGGAGCAGCAAAGCAGCCTGCTCCTTGGGACTCACTGCGACTAATTCTCCTGTGAGTTCCTTTCCTCTCTCCTCGTGACTTCCTTATCTGTGCCTCATTTATGCTTCTTCATTCATGCATATTTAATTATACCTTCTTCCTGCCAAATTCATCTTATCTCCCCCCAGACTCCGGCTTTCCTAGCTCAGCTGGTGTGTTCACTCGCATATTCAAATTTACGCAAATATCATCAGTTCAATTCAGCAGGTGATCATTGAATGATATCTATATAGGCAGCTCTGTGGCTGAACCTGGGGATGCACAAATAACAAAGGTATCATTTTTGACATTAGCAAATTCACTGGTGCTAAACAGTCTTGCAACTTGTCCCTTCTCTTTCACTGAGGTGGCAAATGTGTCATGACTTTTCCCACACTCACAGTAGACTGTCCGAAATATTCATTCCATTCTCTCTCTGTGGATGTTGGCTGGGTGATCCTCATCTGACCACTGATAAGCAACCCTAAGTTTGCGTGATTGATGACACCTAGAAAATTATGAAGTGGCCCAAAGGACAACCTGACTTAACAAATACTATGGCCCCAAACCACCTGTAGGCAGCATGCTGAGCCCAATTGGGAAATCTTGAAGACATCTCCATCTAAGGAGAGCCTCCACTGGACATGAGCCATCTCACAAAATCCTAGATTCCAGGCTCCAGCACTCAGTGGAGGCCTCTCTTCTCTATTTAATACAAGTAGAGAGGCAGGCAAGGATGAGGAGTCCTCTCTTTTAGCACAGATGCATTTGTGACCTGAGACCCTCAGAGGGTCACTCTAGGAGCATTATAGGCACAGAGTAAGGCAAAGGTATTGGACCAAACATTCCTGAAGAGGAAGAACCATGCTGAGACCAGAGAATTAGGCAATCAAGCTTTCAAGAAGCTAGGTGTACCAAGGGGTTGGACTTCCAGACCTTTGGTATGTGACTCTGCCACATGTTGGGAACAGCCACATCCCTACACAGGGCAGCGCTCAAGAAGAATCAGATTTGCTTCTCAGACCAGCATCTCCAACTCCGCCGTTTTCTCCTCTCTCCCTCCTGGCACTGTGCATGCTACCTTCATTAAAACAAACAAACAAACAAGCAAAAATACATACATACAAAAGAAGCACAGATCCATTAAGTGCCTAACTCCTCTTCAGGAGTGTGTGCATCATCTTCACTATGTGAAAAATCTTTTTAAAAACATTGCAAAGATTTCCGCTAATACACTAAACATGTTTAAATCTAACTATCAAATTAATTGCCCCTTGGAAATTGAGAAACTGACTTTAGGAATATCTGATTCAGGATTAAGTTCTAAAGAGAATTTCTCTCAAGCATGGCAGAGGCATAAATAAAAGAGTACATGGCTCTCTCAGAGCTTTGAATGATTAAATCTGTGGCAAATATGTGAGCTTCCACATCTCCTATCAGTTATCCTGTGGATATAAATGTATGCTGATGTCTCATTCCACAGATATGCACTTGCTCTTGCTCCCCCCCAGCCCAGTTTTCTAAACCTTTTCATTCAGAGCGATTTCTTCCTTAGGTGACTCTGTCCACAGGAAGTGGCATGGCTGCAAGGTTCTCTAAGAGCAGAGCTCTTCACACCCAGTAAATTACTCAAGTCCAAGTTCAGTACTTCCTAACTCTGCCCACAGAAGAACCTCTTTAAGAGACAAGTCTTCACCTTGTGAAAATGGGAAAATAAAGACTCACGTGCTGCCCAGGGTGATACTGAGGTGTAACAGCTTTAACGTGAGCAACTGGTGCTGCCTGAAGGCCCGGCTACCCTGGGGTCCCCATGCCAGGCTCATGTATGTGAACCCAGAAACCGAGCTCCAGCACTTGTCTTAGGTTGGCAAATACCCAGATCTTACTCTTCTGACTGAATGCGCTCCTTGCCCATAGGTGGTTGGTCATTATTTCCATGTAACCTTGCGACTTCTGAATGGGTTTCTCTAGTAGTACTGCAGTCTGTAAGATAAGGGAAGTAATTTGTTTTCTCTGTTGTAACAAAACTCGGTCTGCAGTTAGGGATGCTTTCAGCAACTGCTCACTTCTTTTCATGGAGACTTCCTTTATGGTATGCACACTGTGCTCCGTTATCCAACTGACTGACACCGCACTTCACCCAGAGCCACTGCTCACTAAGTAAGAGCCATTCAATCAGGGGGAAAAAAAGAGGAAAACTTCCAGTTATCTGTATATAAGGATATTGCAGTTCTACAAATAAACAATCTTTTTGATTAATGACTCTTCTTCCTATTAGTGGCTCACTATCCTGCAACATTGGACTTCATCTCATTAGTGAGAGAATATATGGTGTTTCACATGAGGGAACCTTGATGAGAAACTAGGCGTGAAAAGCAATAATCTGGAGCTGGATCTGGAAAACTGTGTGAGAGTGCTCAGTTTGGTTCAGGGACTGTGAAGGAAAAGACTTGCAATTTTCGGAGAAACGGGGTTGTGTTCTACATAGGGTGTCTCTGATCAGGCCAGTTGGAAACATCAACACAAATCAGGACAGGGCAGGATGTGTACCTCACTGTACCCTCAAAGCAGATGGAACTCACGTCATCTAGAGTAAGGCTCTTAAACTACTCAGACAAAAATGTGCCCTCTAGAAAGCACCAGTCAGGAAGTTGTCCTGAAGCCTGGGAGGCTGAATGGTTTTCACAAGCACAATGTCAACCAATATGAGACCAAAGGAGGCCCCCACCAGGCAGAGCTCAGTCTGAAGGCTCCAGGCTCAAACCCCAGTGACAAAGAAGGGGAAAAAAAAGTAAGAAGTCGCTGGCTTCTTAGTGGAGCTGATTCCTGTGTACCAGAATTGCACCTATCCACGTAAACAACTATTACAATTAGAAGATATGGAAACTGGGCGTGGTGGTGCACACCTGTAATCGCAGCACTTGGGAGGCTGAGGAAGGAGGATCACTGCGAGTTTGAGACCAGCCTGGGCTACACAGTGAGTTCCAGGTCAGACTCAACTACATAGTAAGACACTGTCTCAAAACAGAAAGAAAGAAAGAAAGACAGAAAGAAAGACAAGAAAGAAAGAAAGAAAGAAAGAAAGAAAGAAAGAAAGAAAGAAAGAAAGAAAGAAAGAAAGAAAGAAAGAAAGAAAGAGAAAAAAGAAAATATGAAGAGCATATCCACTGAAGTAGCTCTTTTTGTTTTGGAACATTGTTGTCCTCATTATCTCCTTAAGAAGATAATATGATTATTTTATTGATGATGGGATATAAATTTCATTGATAACACATCACACTCTTTTTAAATTACCACCTTGAATGTGTTAACAAAGCTTCATTTGTAGGAAGAAGAAGAGGAGGAGGAGGAGGAGGAAGGGCATCTTCAGTATAATAGAGGCACTTCATGGGTCTTTATGTAAATGATGCATAGTAAATATTTAATCAAATAACACTAATTTTAAAAACATATAAATTATGTGATTATTCTCACATCAAAAATGCATGCCCTATTAAGTTGGTGACATTTCTCATATATGTTATATTTAATTTTCTGTTTTCTATCCATTGATTTAAAAAAATTGAATAATCTATGATCCTAAGTAGACTCTGTTACACTATCATTTATTATTAAACAAACTTCACTTAAATGGCGACTTCCCTGTGCTTGAAGCACAGTCACAGACAGCTCCGGAGAGCTCTGCTCCCCAGCTATCTGTTTGCAAATGCACACATGCAGATGCTGAAGGGAGAGCGTGTCAGTGCTAATGAGACTTAGCTGGCAGCTTCTCCAGGCGCTCTCACTGCCCATCTTTCCTGGTACATGAAACCTACTCTTGAAACTGCTGATTGCTCCAATCTACTAAAATACTCTGGCATCCACCTGAATCTATTTCCTGCTTTCCGGCCAAACTCTGTGATTTCTGGTTTTGATGAAGCATCAGCACCCATTCTGCTCTACTAGTCTTTTCATGACTTTTTCTAAATACTGAAATGCATAAAAAACAGACCCCAAAGCAAACATTCTTGACACTCATATATTAAAACACGTAAAAGTGGGAAAATGGCACCTTCTGCTAGGGTGCTGGAATTTGTCTACGATCTGTGTTTACCTCCCCAAAGTCCAGGTCTGAGGGTTACACAGTGCACACGAGCTGGGGATCACTGAAGATGCCAGGTACAAAGTGTTGTGCTCCGGGTACTCCAAGAGCAAGCAGCCTCTCCAGAAGTCACCTTGGAAGCCACAGACCTCTCTGAAGGTGGCCCCAGGGGAGGACTCAGACAGAAGCTTGTTACGTCTAAGGGAGGCTTTGGAACTCGCACTTGAAACTTCAAATCTAAAGGAGGAATTAGAGCCATAGAATTCATTTCATCAGAAACAACACAGGATGTCACAGAAAATAATTGCCACACCAACTTACAGTTTTTTAAAGATAAAATGCTTGCTTAATTAACAACTTTTTTTCAGAGCAGCAGCTGAAAATCATGCCATTATTATATGACTTTTCATAGGTAATGGTGACTTTTTAAACATGAAACATTAAATACAAATGAATACAAGCATAGCGTGATACCTGGACACTGATCCCAAACCAGAGGCACACTCACCGGGGAACGCACACCAATAGACTTTGGGAAGACCCACCATGTGCAGGGCCTGAAACGAGCTCCACACCCAGGTGAGCCTGAACTTCTCATTCTGTGTGTGGGAATCAGAGGGAAGGGTGGAGAGGGGCCATTCTGGAGTCTTCAGTTGGTTCCAGTAGGCACCGCAGCTACAAGCGTCTAGGCCCTTTTGTGTTCAATGTTTGCTTTTCTTCCCTGAATTATGTACAAAATTTCAAATTTTAAGTGCGCTAGAGGGCAAGATGATCTCATGCCTTAAAAAGTTTTATAGGTAGGTTCAAAGTGCTTTCACAGGTGTTATGGCCTCCTAAAAAAATGAAGAGCATTTCACCAGCTGTTCCTTAGACAAAGGGCTACTTTCTAGAATATACAAAGAATTTTAAACATTCAAATGTAAAGACCCAATCCAAATATGGGAACCTGAAATGTAGACATTTCTCAGACAAAAAAAGTAGAAATAGTAAATAAACATATGAAACAATGCTCAACATCCTTGGTCATTTGAGGGATGCAGATGAAAACAACACTGAGATTCCATCTCAACCCAGAAAGAAATCAACAAATGGCAAATGCTGTCAGGGATGTGCGGAGAAAGGAGCACTTCTCCACTATTGGTGGGAATATAGACTTGTGCAACCAATGTGAAAATCAGTATGGAGATACCTCAAAGATCTAAGATTAGAGGTCCTGTTTGACTCAGCTATTCCTCTGCTGGGTATCTTCCCAAAAGAATTAAAAGAATCATCCCAGAGTGATATGTGTGCACCCATATTCATAGCAGCACAGTTTCTTATAGCTAAAATTTGGAAACAGCCCTATTGCCCATCAACTGGAGACTGGATAAGAAAATGTGGTTTTTTAGAAATAAAATGGAAGACTACTCATCAATAAAAATGAGTAATATAACTAAATGGATGCACATTTAAGTGACACTCTTAAGTGAATGAAACAGAACACACTTGTGTAAATACTTAATAGTTTCTCTGGTGTGAAAAACTGAAAGTGTAAACAAAGTTCAAAATATATGATAGATCATGTAAAATAGGAAGGAAAGTTCATGTGAAATAGGAAATGGGAAGTGGGAGAGGTAGGGGAAAGGAAAGAGGGGAATGGGATTAATATGAGAAAAGGAAAAAATAGAAATAGCCTTTGTAAATATGGAGGGGTGGAGGGCTTAAAGGGAGGGCAGTGGAATGGGGAAAAAAGAACCAAGATATATCATGTAAAGTTACAAATTCCTAATGATGAATGTCATGTTGTATACATAAAATGTACCTATAAATTTAGTGGATAAAGCAAGAAATAGAAAAAAACTTTGAGAAGACAAGAAAATTGTGATGTTGTCTTTTAGAAGCCTATTTGCAGCTCTTTAAACATATAATCAATTTCTTACAGTGTAAGCTCCTCCCCCCACAAGAAATGGAAAGCATCAACAAACACAACTTTGGATTGCAACTATAGTGGTTTACACAGAATTCCACCACCTGGGATGCTCCAAGCTCTCACTTTATCTTGGGAAACGTGAAGTAGTCCATCTGCTAAACCAACACCCATCTGAATGGTTATGATAAAAGTATTTCATTCATGAGATTCTACCACCATGCGAATTTCACCATTACTCTTCCCTTTGAAATTAATAAAGTCTCAGCAATATTTAATGTTACATCTCTAGGCGAGATCTTCTGTGTGAAGCCTTTTATACACACCTAGACACACACCCACACCTGAAGAAGCACCTCCTGTGCTTTGGGAGTGCTTTATATTTGCAGATCATTCTGTTTAATTTAAGAAGATGCAACAGTCTCTTGCCATAATTAATTCTGTTGTATATAATCATACTTTGTTCTTAGACTTCAGCTGTGAGTGATTTCCTCCACATTTCTTGTCTCTATTCTCATTGTTCTCTGCTGAATTTTCAGAATTTGTTTTCCAGATTACTAACGTCTTTCTCTTCATGTTGATTTTGCTTCCGTTTACCGAGTGCCATAAAGCATTTGTTGCTGTTGCTTCTCACACAATGCCCTTTTCATTTCAATGTTTAATTTTCATTTTTCTGGAACCTCTGCTTACTAAAGCTAATTTCAATGCACAATGCAAGTAGAGGTGTAATTTGCTTTTTCACTAAAGTACAGTTTTCCCACGAACACGTCCGGCCTCATCACTGCATGAGCATAGCGCCCTCCTGGTCCTGGAGCGGCTGGGGAATGTTCACAGCATGAGGGAAGAGAAACTCACCAGACAGCGCTTCTCCCCAGGTCCATTAACACCACCAGACATGCCGAGAACGGAGGAAACGCTACTGAAAGGGAGAGGGGTGAAAAGAGAATTCGGCTTACACTTTTGTCAAACACAATAATGAAAAGGAAAAACTACTGAAAAAATGTGTGAGATAAAGCCAGGCATGGGGGTACACACCTGTAATGTGAACCCTCTGGGACCCTAAGGCCGGAAGATCACAAGTGTTGAATCTGGCCTGGGCAATTTACCAAATTCCTGACAGTCTGACTCAAATTAAAAAAAAAAAAGATAAAGGGCTTGGTATTGTTATATAGATCAGTGTAAAGGCCCTGTGTTCAATCTCCAGTAGCACACATGTTCACACACACACACACGGTAAATAAATGAAGTATCAATACTAGATGTGTATTATTGACAGATAAGGAGAAAGCTGACATACAGTAGTCTTCATTTTTACTACCTTTGCTGTAAAGGCAGGTTATATGCACAATTTTTTCAATTATTATTTTAATTATTAATAATATAATACTTATCCATAAAATTATTAAACACTAAATATGTGAAAATCACTGGATAAAACCCAGAAGTTTTGCTGAATTTCTATCTCTATTTTTAAATTCAGAATCAATTGAGACATACAAACCAGCATAAAACCTATATAATGTGGCTAGAGTATATTATAAATGTATTTACATATAAGCTACATTAGATTTTTTTATATAAAATTGGCATATTTGTCAGCGTTTGCAAAGTGTTCCATAGTTTCAATATATCTCATTTTCACACTCATCGATCATGCTGCTTTGAAAGTTTCAAAACATAAATTATGTTCACAGTGTGATTCACTGAATATCTTTATGTGTGTGTGTCTCAGGAACATATCTGCTTTACCATTGGGAGAAGTGAAATGTTTGGAGCAGGTGACACAAAGCTACATTTCCACATAATCCACCACCTATTTTCTATGAAAATTTTGACCTATAGTTTGATCTTCTTATCAGGATTTAGGATCTGTATCCATGTCTCTTACAAGAGATATTTTCTTTTCTCTTTGTTCTTGTCATGCTACTTCATAAAGTTTATTTGTATTTGTTTTTCTAGGGTCACTAGTTAATAGGGCAAGTTTTCATAAGATTATATTCTTTCATAAATAAATTAAAGTCACTCCTTTGACCAACATTCCTACATATGTTTTATCTGCTCCTAAGCCATTATTTCTATGGAGAATATTAAACCACCATAAATTGACCTGTTGAGCTTCTTCAGTTAATCCAACTTTAACAATGGAGGAATCATGGGACATTTCCCTACATTGTTCACAGAATACAAATAAAAGAAATTCTGGAATTTGATTTAATACTATGCAATAGTATTAAATATATATGTTCTAGAGTGACCCTATAAATATGCTTGAATGAATGTTTTCTAAAAGTTCCATGTAAAAATGAAATTTTTCATGGAATTTATTAGCAATATGAAATAGGAAGAAAAGGACCAAAGGTGTAGGGACAGTGAGAAGGATAGGGAAAGGGGAATAATGAAAAAGGAAAAACAATGAGAAAATGTAAAAATGGAATTAAAGTGTTTGAAAGTGGGGAGGGGAGGAGGGGGAGAAGAGAGGGTGGGGACAAGGGGAAAAAATGAGAAAAAAGACCTGGCATGTAAAGGTACAAGATCCCAGTAATGAATGTAACTGTACTGTCTACCTAGAATGTACCAATAAATTCAATTTAAAATTAAAAAAAAAGAAATATATAGCTAACATTTATACATGTCTAGCTGAGTTTTTTTTATTTTGAATGCTGTATTTAATTGTATATTCAACTGTAAATAGTTTGTATATAAAAAAGCATTTTACCATCATACTATGTGTTTTACTATTATTGCTTTTTAATTCATGAGGTTTTATTAGATTCTTTGGGTGTTTGTACCAAGGCAGACATGTTATCTGGCACTAACAAGTTTATTTTCTTTCTGAATGCATGCTTCAGTCCCTTGTTTTACTGTCATTGTCCTGCAGCTTGATTTTGAAAAAAAAAATTATTAGAGAGGAGACTTTCATCTGTTGTCCCTCTTGCAGCTAGAACTCTAGTCTCTGAGCATACAAATCAGTGGTAAGCTCTTAATGTATCTATTTTGTTGTAATACAGAACTTTTCAAGTTATGTACTCAAAAGGTTACATCATGAATATTTGAGTTTTGTGAAATATGTTACCTGCTTCTATTGATCGGATTACATTGTTTAATTGTTTAACTTAGTCTGTTGATACAAAAGATGGCACTGACTTATGAAGCATGTGATCTATTTACAATGAAAGAAAATACAGTCAATACGAATGAGGACAT